GGAAAAAAAAAAAAAAAAACACAACCGCCTTTCCGAACTCCGCCCTGACACCAGTTACGAACTCCTTTTCGAACTCAGGCCCTGACACAGTCGCCGAAGGCCTGTTTTTCGTGCCTTTAGGAACTCAAAACATGCCGCATCCGCCGTTGTTTCTAAAATGAAAATCTACTCTAAAATTCTACTACAACCTAATGAAGATCAAATCTACTCTGAAATTCTGAACTGCTATAGAGTTCAGCAATGACTTCAGAAATCAGTAAATAAAAAATTTTGACCCTGTGATCATAGTATAGCCTATCATCGGATCAGCAGAGCCTTTTGCTTGGCCATAGTCAATCTTACGCTGTGCCATGCAGGGCATGAGCGTGGCCAATTCTTTCGGCCAGATTCACGCAACATTGACAACAGCGTGCCACATTCTTTTGGTCAGATTCATGCAACCTTGATACTTTTCCTTTAGACTGATAAACTCAGTTGAAGTGGTCATACCCATCCGAGGGCAGACCACTGTCTTCCCGCGAACACAGAGCACCCTCATCATACCCATCCGAGGGCAGACCACTGTCTTCCCGCGAACACAGCGCACCCTCATCATGAAGAAGGTATACAAGCCATCTTTCAGTCCAATACAGTCATGAAGAGTGGTGTTTTTTTTTTTTGGTGCCATCCCGACTGTGTCATCTGCGATCATAACCGCAACCTGAAACTGGCATCAGCGATGAGAGAGCTCTCACATTCCCAATTTGGTTGGTATTTCCATCGAAGGGAGAGGTCCCACTACCAAAGAGGATTGGATTAAGCGACTGAATCCGGATGTGGTTTTTGCAGAGATGCACAAAGGCAGATCAATCGCGATTTCCTGCACATCTCCACAAACACGTCCAGATTCAGGTGTTGAATCCAATCCTCTTGTTACTACCGTATTCACCCGAGTAAGACGCCCTGCTATTATTGCCATATCTGGACTGAAAGTCGCACCCAATACAGCTATAATGAACGGTCGATCTATTGGGGTGAAGATGGTAGTGCGACCTCGCCCCATTGGCGTTCTGACCAAACCACTAATGATTATAGTCCTTAATTTCATTTTATTTTTTGGGGGGAGTCCTTAAATTGAATAGCCGCTGGATCCAAACACAGCCCACAGATTCCTTCGGAACAGAGAAGATTACCATGGGCCCTGTGAATGGATGACACGCATCAATTGAGAAACAAAGGGCCTCGCTGCACTACTCTCCACAGGCACAACATACAAAAAGATGGCAAAGAATCTTTCCCTGTTCTGGCAGAAGATTCAGTCTCGTTCTGCACATTCGGAGAGTAGTGCGGCGAGGCCCAAAGCCTGCAGACGACATTGCATAGCGGCCATCTAATCCAAACAAAGATCATGGACATATGTTGTTGAATAGCCGTTGATCCAGACAAAAGTTTTTTTTTTTTTTTTTTTTTTTTTTAAGAGAATGTTTGGTTGTATTCAAAAGACAAATGGAAGCTGGGGCCGGGGTCCCCACAATTCAACCCGGATCGAACCTCTGGCAGCATTAGCCAGTTTTGCTTTTTATGGCACCATTAGGAACCGGATGTCATCAACATGAGTAAACTGAACATCTATAGCTATACTAGCCTACACTGATCTGAACTGTCATCAACATGAGTAAACTGAACATCTATAGCTATACTAGCCTACACTGGTCTGAACTGAAGCAATGATTATGGTGTACGATTGCAGGGAGAGCATTCCTGGGTTGGGATTCCTGGGTTGGGATTCCTGGGTTAGGAAACTGAGCTAAACTAGGGTAAGTGAAGGGAGAAAAGAAGAGTGGGATAGATGGAGGTGGAGGGATAGGGGAGGGATGGGATGGAGGGTGGGGAATGAAGGTGGATGAGGTGAGTGTGGGTGGGTGGTCTGAAAGTGGGTGAATGGGTAGGGATAGAAAGGTGGAGTGAGTAAACAAACGGGATCCGACAGGTAGAGAGCTCCTACGATGGTACTGGCTACTAACTAGATACAGAGTCTGAAACCAGCCTAACCTGCGGCTGGTTGGAGCCAGGCTCTCTCGCTCCTCGAAAAGTGCGACACACTCCTCCCTCCTCCCCAGCCTCCCGACTGGTGGCCTCCTGCGGCCTGAACTAACCGAGTGTCCCGGTTGGAAAGAAAATAAAGCAGACCAAACAAGGAGCCAGAATAGACACTTCATCTCTAATGCTAGATCAATGGCTCAACAGCTGTTACACTGAGGGAGGAGAGGGATAAGAAGAAGAGGGGGTAGAAGAGGGAGCAAAGAGGGAGAGAAAGAGAAGGGAGCAAGGGGGAATGTATAGCTCTGCTGAAGGAAAGGAGAATGAGCCGTCAGAGCAGAACGCTAAAGGGTGATTCTAAGGAGAGCTATGTGCTGAGCCACGGCGAGATGACCAGTTGTCCAGTATGTGTAACAGCCGCCAACTTGCTGTCTCGATCCAAAGTTTCTCTTTAGCAGAGATTTAAAAAGCCGTTATAGATCCACAAATAGCTTATACCTAGAAGGTGGGTGACGGAGAAGAAAAGGAAAAAAAATAAAATAAAAATAAAAATAAAAAAATTGTGTGGCCGGTCCGGCTATCAGGTATTTGCTTAAGGTTCGTACTACCCAAACCTCTCCCCACCCACCAAAACAAAAAAGAACAAAAATCTACATCACATTGGATCGATCATTTCCTTTTCCCTGTTCATCTTTACCTTTTGCAAATCTTTCAATACGCAGGTTACCCGCCAGCACTTTTTGCATCAATCAGAGGGCTCGAACTCATGGTCAGCTCATTACTACTGTTATAAGCTACTTGGGTGTACTATTTATAGCTACAAGGCAAGGCTGTGGTAGACCGGATAGTTCCGTCGTTTTCGACTGCATGGCTATTTTTGTCCTTTGCCTAAACTTGACCCCACACGGCTGTTATACTGACTACAGTCTTCCCCCGAATACAACGTACGGTCATTATAG